GACCTGAGGCCCTTTGCTGCGTGTCATCCCCCCTCTCTCTCTCTGCCCCCTTCCATGTCTATCTTCAGCTGTCCCTATCTAATAAAGGCAATAAAAGGCCAAAAAAAAAAATTCCTCCTTCATTTGTCCTTATCCCAATTTCACATTTTTCAATCTTGTAACTGTCTTTATGGTATATTAAGAAATAATCTATGCTTGAATAAATTTTAATGAGGTGATGAGAAATATGTGTACTCGCTTCGTTTAAGATTTACTTCTCTTCATACATCGATTAGCCTACTCCCAACTCTGCCAATAACCCTCTGAACTTTCAGCTAATTGTGGATTTCTGTATTCCACTGGCCGAACAGTTGAGTTGTGGGTTTATTCTAAAATTTAGGTCTCCTCCCCAAATCAAAATACCTTCCCCCTCTGAAGTCATCAAATCAAACATTTGCCTGTAAAATATCCAGTCCGACCCTGGGGGTGCATATACATTGAGAATAGTGACCAATTCTCCCTCTAACCTCCCCTTAATTAAGTTAAACCTTCCCTGTTTGTCTGATGTTTCTGAGAGTTTTTCAAAAGTAATTTTCCCTAATATTACAATGGCCACTCCTCTCCTATGACCTGTTCTATAAGATGAGGAAATTACTTGATTAAATCCATTTTAAGCTTTTCATGCTCCTTTTCTGACAGGTGGGTCTCCTGCAGCAGAGCCACCCCCACCCCCTCTTTCTTAATTTTACCTAGTATCTTGGACCTTTTTAATTGGGTTGAGTATCCCATTTACATTATATGATGCTATCTTTAATATTTTTTTCTGGGTTGCCATATTCGCTGATTTTCCATCTCCTCTGTCCTATGCTTACCCCTATGCTACAAAATTGGCAAACCACCCTAAACATTAAAGATACAAAAACAAAACCAATCACTGATGAACTAGTGATTAACCAGAAAACTTTCTTGCGTGGAGCCTGCATTTTAAGTCTGCTCTGAGGGATGTCCCCTTCCTCCTAGGGGAAGTGGGCCCTCTATGCTGTAGTCAGCTTTGTCCATGTGACCAACAGCTCAGAGAAAAACAAACAGAAAAAACAAAAGGAAAGGAAAAAAAGGAAAAACTAAAGAGCTACAGAAAAACAAAAGCCTCCCCGACTTTTTAATAAAATATGTAGAGGAAATCGCCCTTTTAAAATTAGGATAGTTAAGTAACCCAATACAACTTAAATTGGAAGTGTATTTTCTTCTCCCTCAAAACTTTCTTTTCCTCTGCATACTCCTTCTGCTTTCTCAATACCTCTGGAGCGTAGTCATGATCCAGAAGCACCTTCTTCCCAGAGGAATGTGCTTTTCTTTTAAGTAGAATATAATGAAAAAGTTATATAACAGAGTTTTTTTCATAAACCTTACCTGCAGCTTTAATAAAATAATTACTTGTGAAAATAACCAAAACCCGCTGGACACTTTGTGGGAACCCGTCATGTAGCACAACTTGAGTTGCACTCAAGGGCAGACAATAGGGAACAACAGGAACTGTTGAAACAGTAGTTTGATTGTTTTAATTTAGGACTCCATCGATCTGTTCCTGGGGAACTACGCTGTAGACGAAGCTGATTGGACCACCCCTTTGCGTGACCCCAAAGACTGGAAGTTCCTGACGGTAAGAAGGGCTCAGCAAGATAGACTAATAGATGTTTCTTTTCACAAAGTCTATATTTTGACTCTGGTCTTCTTTTTTAGTTGCCTATCATCATGGTGGTAGCATTCTCCATGTGCATCATTTGCCTGCTAATGGCTGGTAAGACAAACTGCATTAAAGGAATTTTCATACCCACAAACGTTCCATCATAATTTCAGAGCCCGATTTTTGAGCCTAGGATTTTTGAGGCTGATACTGATTTTAGAGGAGAAACGGCCAATAAAGTTAAATATTCTTCAACATGTTAAATAAGTTAACGAGTTCAAGTTGATATTGCTGTTATTGTTCTGTGCTGCTTGCCACAGTATTGTAAATCACAGCGCACTCTGCTGGATAAACACTAATATATTACCACAAGCTTTTTTTCTGCATTATATACCGGAAAAACTGTTTTTATATCGGAGCATATTGGTTAAGATCTACTCTGATACGGATACAGTACTTCAGAATCAGAATCAGAAATACTTTAATAATCCCCGTGGGGAAATTACTTGAAAGGTGGGTACAAGAAACAGGAAAAAACAAGAGGAGATGCATCTATGCATCTATGCATCTATGATATTATTTATTGGCCAGTATTATCTGCTTATCAATATATTGCTCTGGGTTATTTATCTTAAAATGAATCCCTATAGGGCTCAAAAATGTATGCACTATTTTTGAAACGCTCCCCCAATATTTTGGCAGTGGATGCAAAATTTGTTTTAAATTTCTTCTACTGACTCAGTATGACCAGCTGTCCCCTTTCAGGTGACACATGGAGTGAAACTCTGGCCTATGTTCTGTTCTGGGGAACAGCCAGTGTGGTGACAGGTGGCCTCATCCTCTTTAATGGACTGGACTTTGTAGATGCTCCCAAGCTGGTCCAGAAGGAGAAGCTGGACTGAATGTGTGTGTGTGGAAAGCAGCTAGGCCCTGGCGAGCTCACCGCCTCCTCCTCTAGCTCTTCATCACTTCACCCCCAGCATCAGCAGGCCTGGAGCCTGTACTGACAGAGGGTGGAGTGGAGGAGGGTTGTGGACCCCAGGGCCGGCCTCGTGTACTACAATGGTGGAAAGACAGAGACTGGGAGTGCATGGGCCTGCTGCTGTCCACACTGCAGCGACTGTCATGTGGACAGGACCTGTCTGTCAACGGGTTTTAGTGGACACTGAACCTCTAGGATTTGTTCTTAATGGATGTCATTGTTCTGATTTAATGGGAATGCTGTGGGACCTATGGGAAATTGCAGTTTGTCCCACTGCATTCCCTTAATGGAAGCATAGGGATCACAGGGAACAGCTATAAATTAATTACTGTATAATGTTTTGCCTATTGTCTTTTAATTTTTGCCAATATGTGTCTACCTATGTACAGCTGTTCTTTCCTGAAACCTTAAAAACCTGCATTTTAAGGACCAGTATCGGGTCCACAAGGTTGTCTTGTTCCAAAGACTCCAAGAAATCCATCCATCTTTTGCCACAATTTAATTTACATTGTATCCTAAATATCTATTGGCAACTTGAACGGTGCAGTTTTTATCACTTCATATAGCTGAGAAATCTTTCAGGTATGTATTTAATGTGTTAATGATTACATGGTCATCATGCACTGGTAGATAATAATATACAGCAAAAAACATCATATGGAGTTGATCAATGAAAAAGACACCGCAGAATGTAAATAATAGTGCAGAGGGAAGGCAGAAACTCCATGGTTTGTTCCTGTTAGTACCCTGTTCAGCACTACATGTAGGCTGTATGAATTGAAATTGAAAGATCTGGATATATTCCCCCATGACCTGGTAACATTTCTTCCAGTCAGTCATCATGTGTTGAATTGTATCATTAAAACTGACTGTAAATGTAGGGCTTATGGAACTTGCCACTTTGAGTTAGCATCTATTTATTAACCACAAAAAGTCATTTGTGTGCAGAAATTTGTTTTTCAGGCTTTGTTTACTTAATCATTGCTCTCAAATGAGTCGTTTGTGAGGAGGAATAAACAGAACATAATGGTTAAACACTATTGTTTAACATTAACAATATAAAGGGATGTCAAAGATTATAAGTTGTTCAAGATGCTAAATCTAAAACACCATACATACAGAAACGTAGATACCTTGTTCTCAATTTGATGTGCATCTGTGCGGTCGCCATATTGGGGAGGTCAAGATACGCTAGTTAACACTACTGAGAGATACAGACTGCACTACAAAATTGACTAACTCACTTAATTCTGGACCCATTTTCATGGGATTTGGTTTGTTAAAATGTAGATTTCCATTCATACAGTATTATATTGTTATAAAGCCACCTGGTTGCTTGTCTGCAGTATAGCAGTGGCCTATAGCAGTGGCATACAGCAGCGGCCAATGACCTATCAATGTTTCTAAACATCTATGTAAAACATTGTCAAGTAATTACAACAGTAGGAACTGGTTGGTCGCAGTTTGTTTCATCCAGAGCATTAGTGGCAGACTAGCAGCTGGCTCTACATAAAGTGAGTTCACACCTTCATAATAATATTGTTGGTTATCATATTATTATTATTATTATTTTGTGCTGGTTATTTATTATTTTTGTCATGCCGCAGCTCAAATTGCTGAGAGCTGGAATGTGCTAGAAACATGAAACTTGGCACAGTAACTGGAAATGATGTGCAAATGCTTCCCAAGAAACATGAGCCAAGATGGTGGCACTGTAATTAAGCCCTACGTCACACTGTTAGTTCAATTGACTTGAAATTGGACACACAAGTCCAGCTTAATGAGCTCTACAAGGAAGCTTCCTGGACCATTTGTGTTCGTAGATTTTTCTACTTTTTTTTATTTTGACTCGATCAACACCAAATTCAGTATTTCGGTATCATGGTGGGACTGAGATACACATTTCTATTATAAATTAGCAGATCAAAATACATGGCCGCCATATAAAAAAAAATTGCGACGGGCGGGGCTTATCAGAAAATTAGCCACAACTCATTAACCATTTTTGGTAGATAGGGTTAAGGTTAGCTTTAGTTAGTCATTAAGAGGTCTACCCAAGCATTTTGAGCCAGACGACTGGGGGGGGCCACAAATGCCACAAACGCTTACCGGAAAAAATTGTGAATAGAATTTCAAAAATTTCAGTGTGCATGGTCGGGGGCAACTAAAGTCTGAAGCACTGTATGGATTAGTGGAAGTGGCCGTGGCTAATCACATAAGTGCTCATAACTCAAGATGCCTTTGAGCATCACTGGAGACACTCTGACATTCTTCATTTATACATGTTAAAAGTACTGTTTAATGTTCTGTTCACTGCTATTTCTTTCCCTACACACTGTAATGGCAATTTTTAATGAGCAATCAATGTGCTGTCTCAGTGATTGTGAAAAATCCACGTTGTCAAACCAAACTCAGATCCTTATGTCTCATTGGTCAAATCTAAGCATGACAGGTGGGAGAACTTTAGGTATTGGACCACAACAATGAATCTACTGGGTGTGGAAAGACCTTGGATCCTAACGTTGATTTTTTACAAATGAAGTGAAGGTATACCATAAAAGATTTTTGCCTTTGTGAACACGAAAGAAAACCAGTTGAGCTCATTCCAGACACAGAACTTAAAGGGTAGAAGTAAAGTTAGTAACTTGCATTAATGGGACATGAGTGAGTGCTGAAAGAGAGGGGAAGAGAGTTGGTTAGCAGTGGTTAGTATTCTCTTCATAGGCAAGATGTTTACAGTTAGACATTTATGTAATCTTTAATGCAGCATTAAAGAAATATTGTGAATCACTCAATCTAGTTGTCAAGTCATGTGATCACAGCAGAGGGCAAAACCCTCTCACCCAAACAAATTGAAGCAATTCAGACCATTCCACGGCCTGAAACAAAGAAACAAGTAATGAGTTTTTGGGAATGACATCCTACTGCAGACAGAGGATCCCAAATTGTGCTGAAATTGAGGCACCATTGGCATCAATGCATGATGGGAAAGGCCTCGCTGCAAAAGACATGCCAAACATCAAAGTTAAAATATGAATTGTCACTAACTCTGCTACTCTAGTTCCAACTCCAGGTGATGGACAGCTGCATGAACGTGTTGTAACCCAAACAAATTGCTATCTGAAAATGTAAAAAAACACCTTGACAACCTTGATTCTATCTCACAGGGCAATGTGCTGACGTAGCTGCAAAGGCCGCAGCCGAACAAAGTATTGGGAAGTACATGGAAAGGACCAAGTGTCAAAAGGGGGTATGGTGAGGGAAATATAGAAATATAGTTCAAAGGTTCTCTTATTTTTCCCATAAATTTTGCCAAAGTTGTGTTATTTGTGTATGTCTAACAAACTGATTTCATTGAACTAATACCTAGTGAGGGAAAGAAATATTGTCTCATGATTGTTGATATGTTTTAAAGGTGCTAAATCACAGAAAATTTTTAAAATCAAGGGATAATAATTCATAAGTTCAGCACTGAAAAATGTAGGCATGAGACAACATCGTGCCTAACAAAAAAGAGAAAATGGCACATTAGAAAACAAATTTGCAAAATGTTGCATAGGAACAGGTTTGACGTGGACAAAAAGCACTACTAATTGTTTTAATGCACCAGAGTAAGGAACAGAAGTGGTCTCAGCCCATTTCAAAAACTATTTGGGAGACCACTAAACACTGGGATTGGTCCTGTTAAAAGTAAACTCCCTGACACCGGTCAATGGGAAGATGAAATGCTGTGTTATTGTGCAAACATGTCCCCTGTGCTTATATCCACAAGCAGGTGAAAGAAGCCATACTAAAGGCTGCTGAGAAAAATTATACAACCAACACCAGGCGACGGGATTGTGATGAAGTTACTCCTCACAATGGAAACAGCAGTAAAGGTCCCTGAGAGACCAACTTGGATCCATGTCAGCCAATGCAGACTCCCAGAGCCGAGATCATCATCAAGTGTGCAAACCTGTCCAATGAGCGAGGGGTGAAACAGCGCCCTCCTCCACCAGTAGCATGCCAAGCTCCAACAAAGTGATGTGCAGTGAAGCTCTGTAGGGCTGCAGCTATCGAATATTTTGGTAATCGAGTATTCTATCGAATATTCCATCGATTAATCGAGTAATCGGATAAAACATACTTTGCTTAATTAAAGCCCAATTATTAAATATTACATAGAAAACAATACAAGATCACTTAATAATAACAACCAATTGTTTCCTTTTTAAAAAAATACATTTATTTATTTATACATATTTATGCAAAGTAGTAAACCGTTTCAGTCAAAATTTCCAATAAAAATAAATAAAATACTTCAACTATGAACATTAACATATCGAGCTGTTATGGTCTCGCGGGTCAAGAAATGTTTTTACTTTATTGCGCGGTGGTGTGGGTCATTAAGGATTACATATGGTCCAATACAGCTACTTCTACACACTGTTGGTAAATCCACCTGCGACGGACCTGACGTCACAAAAGCGTTAAGTAGTTCTAGACTAGATTATTTTTTCATCCCTAAATTAATGCTTTCCTCTGTTGTGTCTTGTGATATAGGAACTATTTCTATTTTTAAGCACAGCCCAATATACTTACAGTTGCTCTTTACTGAGAAATAGTGCTCTTCTAATTCCTGGAGGTTCAATCCACACTTACTTAGTGATCCCAAATTCATTTATCCCCATTGTTGTTTGCTATAGCGATTGAGCCCCTTGCAGAAGCTATACGGAATAGCCCAGATATAACTGGAATTTCAGTTGGTAGTAAATCTCATAAAATAGCCTTATATGCTAATGATATATTGCTTTTTATAACTAATCCAACAAAATCTATACCACCTGTTTTGGAAATAATAAATCAATTTAGTACATTTTCAGGGTATAAAATAAAAAAAATTTAAGGCGGAAGTCATGCCGCTAGGCAACTCTTTTCGGCCCATCTCTTGTCCATTTAAATGGTCACCCACAGGCTTCATATCTTGGGATTTCCATCACCCCATTATTAGAGGCAATGTACAAGGCCAACTTTGAACCTCTTGTAAAGCATATATGTGATGACTTGGACAGATATCTCTTTCACTGTCAATGATGGGTAGAATTGCCTTACTCAAAATGAATATTCTACCAAGACTTCTTTATTACTTTCAAATGGCCCCTATTTTATTTAATAATAAAACAATTAAAAGGGTAAATGGCTGGATTAGTTCATTTATTTGGAACAGAAAGAAACCACGATTAAAAATGGCTAAGTTGCACATGTCTGTAGAGAAGGGAGGCTTAGCCGTCCCAAATATTAGGCTCTATCAGCTGGCTGCACAGCTAGAGGCAAGAAAGCAGTTCTCGGTCGGGGGTATGCTGAGCTCAACTCTGCTAGCAATATGAACTTAGAGTATCTTTGATGCAAATGGAATGCTGATTTCAATCTTACAAAAGATGAATCAACATGGCTGGAAATATGGTGGTTAGCTAGAGAGATCTCCATATGTAACAGAACTCGAGAGACTCAGTTTAGAATATTGCATCACTTGCAGATCACACTACAGCTCAGACACAGGATGAGCTCAAGTTTATCTGAAAAGTGTTCCAGATGTCAAGTAGAGGTGGGAAGCTATAGGCACTGTATGTGGACATGTATCCATATTGAGGAGTACTGGGGTAAAATTGTTAGTAAACTTAATTTGATTTTTAATGTCCAGCTGGATGCTGATCCTCAGGTTCTGCTTCTTGGCTTGCCCAGTCCTCAT